CAGAGGCGTTAAAGACTACTGTTGGGCAGGAAATGTCCTTGAATTTAGCTCAGTGACCTCTTTTGGAGATATGAGGTTCTTTTACGTGCCGTAAAGCTACGACACGGGACCCACGGCTTAAAGTCCCTCCCGGAGGACTTGTTCCCTGAATTTTTTCGCCCTTAAAAATTCCACGACCTCCGCCGGGTTTGAACCAGCGTTCTTTGTATATATATATAACAAACTACACAAAAGGTATAAAATATTAGAGTGAAGTTTACCCCATTAACTGGCACCTGAAAGTCTCTCCAGTACAAGAAACAAACGCTATACGATTTCTACTGTCCATAGTTTTAATCCTAGACGTATTCAGCAGAAGGTAGAGTGGAATTAGTCTAACTGAGGGAAGTACAGCAGGGTTTATGTGGATTATGACAGGACCTTAGTTATAATGAGTCACCCTTGCTAGCTCCCACAGTGCAGCTGCAAACAATGCCCCATTACTTTCTGCCATAATTCTGCTCAATTCGACTTACTAGCAACATATGCTTCGACTAAAAAAACAGATTCTACTTGCCACATTCAAATACTAAAATCTAAGGTATGTGATAACATATATCGTCCGTATACCTAACGGCGATAGTATACAAAGCCTGCGTAGATACCAAGCAAATTTCTATTCATTACGCCGCATAGCGACTAGGCAAGTATTCTTATCGTGAACTTTATATTGTCACGTGTTTCAAGCGTGACTATAGCCGTGTTTTGGATTGATGATCGGTTTTATTGGACTCTCTGATACAGCGCGTGACTACGCTTTACAATTCACTGTTACACAAAGTTACTAGCGTCCACAGTCGCGTCTTCACTAGCCGTTGCTTTGTAGCGGCTTCAACGGCGGACGTTCCCCTTCTTCTGGTTACCCGCACCGTCTCCGGCCTCAGCTACCAGCTTCTCACAGCAACAGCTCACAATGACTGAACCCCATGAGTCCTCTGACTCACTCAGTCGCCTACTCACTAACTCAACTCAACTGACTGCCCAACTCCCATACTGTCCTGCTTTTACCACCTCTACACGGACAAAGTGGCGCTGGGGCGGGTTTTCTCCGAGTAGTCCGCTGAAAGTCAACGGACGTTTCGGAGAAAAATATCTCCAAACAATAAACCAATGTGAAGCAAGTAACAAGTTCCGGTGTGTTCTGGTTCCTTGCTTGATTTCTTCTTTGAACCTGAAGATAGAGGAGACATATTCCTCCGAAACGTCGTTTGACCTTCAAAGGACTACACGGCGTTATATCACAGAAGATATAATTGTTTTTCGTGTTTCACTCGCGCTAGTCTACATGTTCTCTGGACCTAAATTTAACGCTTGTTTGAAGTTTATTTAACGGCTCTCAGTAACTCAGTCTAAACAGCGCAAAATATTTGGACGAGAGGAAAATATGAATTGGAAAGGATGTTAAATGCGCAATTCCGCCATTTAGTTAGAAGGAGTGGGAAACCAGAAGAAAGTAAAGCCAGTAGAATCCTGTCCGTGTCTCGAAACGCGAGCAAAACAAGAAGGAAGAGTTGCTGCTTGAGCCAACTTGCTCGGTTATCTAAATTCAAACAGACTACAGATCCTGAATTGCAAAGGGAACGGAACAATTCAGAATAAACCCAGGAAACACAGGAACCGGAACCTATGTCCAGTTTTTGTGGGTTTCTTATATTATCCACAAGATCGGTCTCTTCTTACTTATGGCGAAACTTCGGGTCTGTTTCAAATCACAAAATATGCAAATAATTAATCTAGAACAAGCGAAGTCGAAAGCCGAACATTAGGTTTATACAATTTGAATAAGTCGAGACCACAAAACTCTCACGTCTTTGTTTGCGTGTTGTGTTTACAGTTCATTGCTCGCAAAAAGCTCAATTAAAACTGTAAATTGCTTCCAATGTTATTGACATGTGTTACGAAGTCGATCGCAATGGCAGTGATATATACTGCGCATGCTCCTGAGCCACTGTAATACTGAGAAGGAAGCCAGAATGCAACCCAATTTTCGGACGTGTGTTTGCGATCCTGTGCTCTGTCTTGTTTAGATAGCAGTGTTGCGGGAAGTCTACAGCTTTTCTGAATATTCCTACCAAATACATAAATGATTCATTATTTCAGAATTAATTCTCAGTTGGAACGGACCAAAAGAAGGGGAAGAATAACAACAAACGTCATCGACGTTAATTTCGATGGTACCAGTGGATCTACCAGGAAATAGAGAAGGGATTTCAGGAAAGAAAAAAAAATAATTGAAGAGAGAATGGAAATAAAGAAGCAAAGGGAATTACAGAGAAGAAAACAGAAACAAATACTGACAGAGAGATAAAGATTCTTCGTTAAAGCAGAGGCGAAAAGATCGGACACGCACAGCGGCCGCGTCGAGCTTAGACGCAAGCAGACTCCATGGTGCCTACTGTGCCCATATTTGACAGAACATGTATTTCAAAGTGATATAATCCATTACATTCATAATTTAATTGAAGGAGAGTCACCATGCAGCATCTACACCTACAGCCCCCCACCCCCTTTCTTTCTTGCTTACTCGTCGGTATTAATGCAAATGTTGAATTTCATCATTCACGCAAGCGCACACAACCAAGCAGTAAATGAGCACTGCATATGTATATTTCCATGCATTCTTAGTTCCTGAATAGTTCCTAGGAATAGGAATAGGAATAGTTCCTAGTTCCACTCCAGGGTCGCCTTTCTCCAGTAATAAAGTAGCCCAAGATCATGTCTGGATGTGGTGATGAAAGTATTTCCTGACCCTGTCGACAAAACAAGCCGTGACGATCAAGCGAAAATGTACTGACAAAGTTGCCGCTGTACTTCAAATTGCGAAGGCGTATAATAAGAGTATAGAATATTTTCCTTGGCGTCTAAGGTGACGGATAATTAGCTTCACGATCCTACTGCTTTACCCTGGGAAAGGAACAACCTGTATTTATTGAACTGGAGACTAGGTCCTCGACATTTGTGGTCTAGACATGTTGATATAGACAGAATTTATTGCCTCTACCGGAAATCGGATCGCTGTTCTAAAGCACCGAGTCTTCGTATGTTCTGAATGTCATACACCGCGACGCTTGAAAGCTCAGTTCTGATAACAGAGTGCAGCCCTGACTCACGTCTCTGTGGGGACGGAAACCGAGGACCGGCAACACGTGCGGCCGTTAAGCCATGTATGTCATAAAAACTTGTCTCTAAAGTCATAAAGATTTTGTTACATCGCCACACATTTGACGCTAATATCATTTGAAGTACTGGCCACTATCGGATTAAATAGGGCGGATGAAAAGAACTGCCTGCCCAACCATTCAAAACGGAACCTCACTTCCTTCTCTAATCTTCCTGCCGACTTCATCTCCGGACATACATCAACTGAAGCATTTTTACTACAGCACGTGAGATGAAGACGGAGAGGCAGTTTACGCTTTACACACATTCATGTAAGTAAAGGTCAGTAAACATTTACACTCAAGTCAACTTGTAAATTTCTGGATTCATCTTAACAATATTTCTACAGGTTTACATAACTAATCACATTTTCCTGATTTCATATGAATATACAGGTTCGTGATATCGCGAAGTAAGTACTCTTGTCAGAGCAAACAATAACCCTGTTATGAACGGACGAATTTTCACGAAACTTTTTCAACCGTCTTGCCTAAAATACAAAGAGTATTGTCACGTGTATTAATTAATATAGACGGTGTTTGGATTGGTGAATAGAATTATTGACAAATTACAGGCCGTGACTACAAATAACTATAACATTATTGCCGATCTCCACACTACAACTCACTTCACACCAAGTTCTCCCATGCTACTATCACTAGTCTTTGATCGGTAACCGCTCTGCACAATGGCTATTCCTCTGTAGCGTTTCCTGGCAACGAATCTTCAGCTTCCGTTGCCCGCTGGTTAATCCTCCACAACTGAAACCTCAACGGTATTGCACTCACTCTCTCTGAACAGAACATGGTCGGTCGAGTCATATAGTCTCGGAGCGGACCAACAGAAAACACAGGCTCTAACATACCTTTTACTGATGTGAGAAGTCACCGCGCACGCGTATGCTTAGGGCGCTACATAGCAATGGATATTTCTATGGCTTCACAGTTCTTGCATGAAACAAACAGACCACAGTATTTTGAAAAATCAAGATATTCCACAACAACCACCGCTGTGAGAATCCCAAATCCTACTTACGTAGAGATTGTTGTCCTCCACTGCGCAACATGTCACAATATTCTCTCGTTAGCTCTCTCTACATATGTGCATATATACGTGTACATATATATATACACACAGCACACGCCAAACCTTGGTTTTCGCCTTAAGGAAAGGTGAAATAAAGCTGTTTGAGAAAGGTGTGCTGGGGAGACTATTTGGAAATCTGGAAATACGAGAGACTAAGAAATAGTTAGCTGGAGCAAATTAAATAACTAGGGTCTTCACAATTTGTCCTCTTCTCCAAGTACTATTAGTGAATTGAAAGCAAGGAGAATAATATGTGCACAACACATAGAACATATAGGAAAGTTAGGCAAACGCATACAAAATTTCTGTCTGGAAATCAGCTGGGATGATACGACTCAGGAAAAGTGTATTGTAGGTTAATGTTAAGATGACCCGTTGATAAACAGTGCATAATGTGTGGAAAAGAAAAAATATGATCAGGGTAAAATTCAACTTCTGGATCCTTTAAACAAGGTTGGTTTGCTTGAAAGCTAGAATTTCTTTATGAGCTGAGTAACTATAAAGTTCTCAAGAGAGATCTTACATCATGAGAAGTTTAAATACATAACAAAACTCGTGTTATAAGAAACTACTTTGCTCCGTAAGTTTACGCTCGTAATAAATGACATTCTTTTTGTCAAGAACACATTTCTCTTATCTAAATTTAATTGCTTAATAACTTCAAAAGAAAATCTTTGGTGATATTTGCATAAGCAAGAAACATGAGTCTGCCACCTCGCCGAGGGTTTACATAGCCTGAATGCCTGGACTTAGTGACATGATTTATTAATTTAATGACCTGCGGTATTACAGTGACCCTGCTTTATAGGAAATGTTATTTATGATTGCATATCTTTATTCAGGATCTGAATATTTATGTATGTAAGCTAATTACTGACATTTTAACGGAGTCAGAAAGTTCAACACTGGTAATATTAACGCCAGCCATCTGACATGTTTCTCAGTCAGTTCCACTCGGCTCCGTTATATCGCATCTCGCCAAGATCCGTCTTAGTGTTATCCTTCAATCTCCTTGGACGCCTCCAAAGGGTATTCTTCACTCACTCGTAAAATTTCATTTTGTTTATTTTACCACTTTCTAGGAATATACTGTGCGGATTGGAGTCTTCAAGAATACCTGTATATACTATCCTAAAAATTCAAGGTCACTTCTATATATTCAAATTTTTCCCGTTATGTATTAAGCTAAACTTTTCTGTTACCGCGTCCTTCCCATGTTCGTATATTCTTCTAAACTCCACACCGAAATACTTGCAATTTATGCTCTTCCTTAAAGACAATCCCTCATATCTCTTCCACATGTAAACGCACTTGGAAAGATACTGGTACGCAAATGCATTCTGAAGTTAACTGCTTTGGATAGTGCAAATGATTATGTGCCGAATAACAACAAGGAAGAAACAATTTACTCGTAAATGCTCTTCGCTTCTGTTACTCTTTTGTTCGTCATAATTCCCTTCCAAAACATAAAATCTGTTAGGATACCACGTTGTACAATCTTACTAAAATTTCTCGTAATTTTTCAACCAATGTAAGGAAAGTAAAGTAAGCAAAGTAAAGCAAGGAGAATGAGGTGGGCAGGTCATGTAGCACGAATGGGAGAGACGAGGAATTAGTATGGATATTGGTGGGAAAGCCAGAAGGAAAGGGTCCACAGGGAAGACCAAGGGGTAGGTGGGTGGACAATGGATCTTAGAGAGATAGGAAGGGATGGTATTGATTGGATGGCTCTGACTCAGGATAAAGACCAGTGGAGAGCTCTTGTGAACACGGTAATGAACCTTCGGGTTCCATAAAATGTTGGGAAATTCTTGAGTAGCTGCAGAATTCGCGGCTCCTCCAGAAGGGCTCAGCTCCATGAGTAAGTAAGTAAGTAAAGAAGTAAAGATATCCCTGTAACAGGCCGTGGAGGCCCATAGGGTTGTGAGATGTTGAGGTTCCCACATCTTCTAGACAGTCGGTACACAGATGGCGGCAAAGTTGGCAGCCCTACGCTCCGGCCGCCTTTTACACCAAGAATATTCCTGGTACTAATTTCTGTTAGGGGCACGCGGTAGCGTAGTGGTTGAGGCACTATTCTACAGGCCTGGAGGTCGTGGGTTCAAGTCCCGATGAGGTCATTGGATTTTTTTTTCAGTTGACCTAATCTTTCCAGCCGCACTATCGTCCTGGGGTCGACTCAGCTTCTAACAGAAATGAATACCAAGAATTAATTAAATAATTTTCCTGGGGAGTGAAGGGCGGTTGGCGCGTAAGGCTGACAACCTTACCGCCATCTTTGAGCCGATTGTCTAGATAATGTGGGACCCTCAACGCGTCACAACCCTATGGGCCTTCATGGCCTGTTACAGGGATAGCTTTACTTTACTTTACTTTACTTTTACTCATTTCTGTTAGAGGCTGAGTGCGGCCGGAAGGGTTAGGTCAATTGAAAAAATCCAATGACCTCATCGGGACTTGAACCTATGACCTTCCGGCTTGTAGCACAGTCCCTCAACCAACTACACTACAGCGTGCCCCTTTCAACCAATGTATTCGAACTTTTAAACGACTGTAACATTTCCATGTTCATAGACCGAAATGGTCTATTGATATAATATTTCAGTTTGAGAAACTAAAGTGAAAAAATTATTTAGCAAGCAATATCAGGGTATAATATTAAAACGAATCTTAAAGAAATGTGGTAAGCATATTAGGGCGTAGAATAGAATAATTTGGTTCAGGATAAGTCCATTGATAGGCTCCTGTGAACAAGGTACTAAACCATCGTGTTACATGAAAGAGTCTCAAATTTTCTAGCTCCCCAACGAATACAAACTACTCAAAATGGAATCGAATGTAATTACCAGTACCTTATACTGTATTACCATATCCTTTCTTTCTGCTTACCAACTTCTTGATATCATAAACCTGTAATAACTAGCTACACTCTCTTTGCCGTCCTAACTCAAATCGACCTATGTTAGAAGCAGTTTATGTCTATGTGCATGTAAATGCTTATTTCACGCTTGTAACAACCGGCGCAGAGAGTTATGCGCAAGCGCGATACGAGTCGACAATTAATTCAGTGCCCCGTACACCGACAACTTGTAGAGTTTGCTACCGTTTCCTGAATTCATAACACGACTCGACTATCATTTCCTGAAATCGTGCCACCTTGCACATGCTGTGTAAGCTATCCGCAGCTTCAATGCGGCTACATTTGCTGCGTGTAAGATGCATTTTATATCCATACTTGCATTTTACCACCCTAATCTTCGTCCTCCGGAGAAGGTTACACTGCGTCCAACTTGAAGGAGCCCTGCTTTCTTAATTCTGTAAATATATTTTCTGCTCTCTTATCTTATATTATATTTTTCTTTTGACCACGCCATCAAACATAAAACAGTACTGACCTTAGTAGTAGCCGGAGGTATATGGATTGCTTCACTGTCCACTTATATGGACCTCTAAACACTGCCCTACTTAACCAGTGGACAGGTGACCGGGTGGCCCCACTGCCGTTGCAGACGCTGTGACGGAGGGAAGAATTCAACCCCTACAGTTGAAGCCTGAAGCCAGTCAGTTTAGTATTTACTTGTAATTTAGGCCTTGCCATAGCTCAAGCGGTTAGTCACTGGCTTCCCACCGCGGCGGCCCGTGTTCGATCCCGGGTCTGGTCAAGTGGGATTTGTGGTGGACAAAGTGGCGCTGGGGAACTTTTTCTCCGAGTACTTCGGTTTCCCCTGCCAATCTTCATTCCACAATTGCTCCACAATCACCCTCTCTTATCGTCTGGGGCTGATACAATAGGCCATAAGTTGCCGTAGTACAAGGGACTTAGTCCCACCCCACTAGTATTAAAAAAATTATTTACTTGTAATTTATTTCGCGATGATATCAGTAACTTACACTGTACAGCGTCAGGTGCTTGAATGTGGGTGAAGGATGAGGGGGCAGAAAGAAGTTACGGCACTAAACTAGCATTTCTGCCGATCATGTTTTGTGTTCTCTGTGTAGGGTGATCCCCCGTCCGTCCAAGGAGTCCTAGCGACTGTGTCTGGGATTAAGAAACTGAAAAAGTTACATGCTTTAGTGAAAAGTGATAATAGGTTTGAGTTTATTGCAATTGTTTTGGAAGGCTATGCAACTTATTAACTGAAACAGTGGTCTAAAAATATAGGAGTTTTAACGCCGTAGAATGGTT